TTCTACTTGTGATTTAAAGATGAGGATGGGATCCTTGTGTCTTCATGTTGATTTATATGTTTGGACTGGGCTACGTGCTGTGGTGGAGTTATATTTGGATGAGATCTTTGTGATTAGTACATATGTTTTGTTTTTCCCTTGTGGAATAGATTCATAGCATGATATCGATGGGAGTTGTGCCTGGTGGACTTGTTCGGTAGTTCTCTCATGTGTTTCTCTTTCCATATTCAGTTATATTTGAGTCGTGCTTGTTGTGTTTAGATTGCAAGGTATGTGCCTAGGTGGCATTGGGGGTGACTTGTTGATTGGGTGAGTGGTTATGAGATCTTCATGTTTCTTATGTCATTAGAAGTGTTCGGAAGGTTTGGGACATAGTTCTAGCTGATATGAGGATATTTATCGGTGTTGGAATGGATTATGGGCAGCTATTGTGGTTAGAGTTGTTACTATGGGCATATGGGTGATGTATTACGTCATGTGATTATACCTTATGGGTGTATGTTGAGTTGTTGCAACTGGTTGAGGTTGATACCGAGTATTTATGTGAGAATCGGGTTTTTGGGGGATGATCAGATGTTAAAAAATTGGTTCTAAGGCCTATCCGTATGGGTGGAAGGAATAATCTTCAGTTGAGATGGTGTTGTCGGGCCTATAGGGATTGGGGTGACGTGGGATCACCCGTGAGTACATTTATGGTGAGTTCATTCAGTGATTTGATGACTTCGAAATGGTTCTTGGCACGTTCGAAGAAGAACGTTTGTTTAAGAGGGTATGTAACGACCTAATCGGTCATTTTGAGATTTAGCGCTCCGTTCGGTGGTTAAAGGTATTGAGAAGCTTCACACTATGTATTATGACTTGCATGTACGGTCGATTTCTGTTTTCGAGTGATTCGGGATTGATTTCGAAGAAAGATCCTTGTTTTACAAACTTAAGTGGTAAGAGTTGACCGGAGTTGACATTTGTGTAGACGACTCTGGAATGGTGTTTTGATGATTTCAATAGCTTCGTATAGTGATTTTTGGACTTAGGCGTATGTCCTAATTTGGATTTGTAGCTCCGTAGGTTGATTTGATGCATTTTGGCGAAAGTTGGAAAGTTGAGAGGTTTGACCGGGAGTTGACTTTGTTGATATCGGTTTCGGATCGTGATTTAGGGAGTTATTATAGTTCCGTTATGTCATTTTGGACTTGCATGCAAAATTTGAGTTCATTTGGAATTGGTTTGATATGTTTTGGCATTAGTTTTAGAAGTTGGAAGTTTATTAGGCTTGAATCGATGTGCGATTCGTGATTTTGGTGTTGTTTGATGTGATTTGAGGCCTCGAGCGAGTTTATATTTTGATTTGGGATTGGTTAGTGTGTTTGGACGGGGTCTGGGGGACCTCGGGTGTGTTTCGGATGAGATACGGGCCATTTCTTCATGTTTTTGGAGTTTCTAGTTTCTCTGGTATTATGCAGTTCATCGCATTTGCGTGAGGAAGAATGCGATTGCGAAGTGTATCTGGTGTGGCTGAGGATTTACTCATCCCGTTCGCGAGCTGGTCATCGTGTTTGCGTAGCCTGTGGGAAGATGGTCACCGCGTTCGCGTCTCTTATGTCGTGATCGCATAGAGATAGAGTTGGAGGGGTGCAGTGGATTGTCATCGTATTCGCATGAATAGGGTCGCGTTCGCGTAGGTCAATTGAGCTGATGGGTCGCGATCGTGAGTTGCAGATCGTGTTCGCATAGAGGTGATTTTGGCAACTTATATTTTGTGCTTCGTGATTGCGATGCATTTTCAACGATCGCGAAGAGGAATACCTGGTCAGAATATAAAAGTACTCTATTTCGAGGGTTATGTTATTTTATCACTTTTTGAGTTAGAGATCTCGGATTTGGGCGATTGTGGAGGGAATTTTCACGTTTTGGATTGGGGTAAGTATTCTTGACTCGGATTTGGTTATATTTCATGATTTCATTATTGTTTTTATCATTTTGATCAGTGATTTGAATTGGAGATATTGGGGATTTTAGTAAAAACTTGTAAAACATAAAATGATGATTTGAAAGTCGATTTGAGGGCGGAATTGGGTGATTTTGGTATGGTTGGACTCGTATCGGAATGGGTATTCAGATTTTTGTGAGTTTTGTCGGGTTTTGAGGTGTGGGCTCAAGGTTGACTTTTTGGTTTTCATGAAAGATCAAAATTTTATTATTCGAAATTATATTCTATGGATTTTATTCACGATATTAAGTTATCTTGGCTAGATTCGAGTCATCCGGAGGTTGTTTCACACGGGAAGGTATTTTTATAGTATTGATTTAGCTTCTTTGACGTAAGTATCTTGCATAAATTTGTGTGGGAAAACTACCTTGTAGGATTTGGTTTAATTGCACTATTTGGATTATGTGGAAGACATGTACATGAGGTGACGGGTGTGTACACAGCCATATATGTGGAAATTGACCAGATTAGACTCTTAGGCTTCTTATATGCATTTAATCAAAATTGTCATTACATGTTCTACTTTCCTTTGTTAAATTTATCCTTATATGCTTTAATTGAGTTTGTCATTTCCTGTTCCATATTCCACTGTCAAGTTTATTCTTACATGCATTATTTGAAGTTTTTAGCACATGTTTTATTTGTTATTTGTTAAGTTTACATTTGTCAAGTTTACTCTTATATGCTTTATTTGAAGTTGTTACCTTTCTATTTTCACGTTACCTCTTTCATTGTTGGATATTCTTATTGAAGTGCTATTACATGTTATCCCTTCGCTGTCAAGTTATTCTCATTCATTTACACGTAGTTGCTAGTTCATTCTATCTCTTCATTTTGGCTTATGTCATACACTAGAATTCGAAGTTGTCATTTCATAAAAATACCTTCATTATTGAGTTTATTCTTAAGCAATTAATTGAAGTTGAAGTTATTGAAAGTCATTAACCTGTTTTAGTTGAAGTTGTCGTATAATGGAGTATTGCTCATTGTTGAGTTATTTTTTCCCGTTTTATCTTGTTGCTATTGAGATTCCTATATACATTGTGGTTGAGCTGTGGACTATGTATTGTGGTGATATTGATATTGATATTGTTGTTTTGAAAAGGTTGTGGCATATGGGCACTTGTGGTACGAGTTAATATGTCGTGTTGTTGTGATGTTAGCACGTGTGGATTTGTTGTGTATCTCACTGTTATTGATTGTGCGGAGTAATACGGATGGCTAATGATATATTGTCAGGGCAGAGTGATACGGGTGGCTATTGATATATTATCTAGGCGGAGTGTGTGTTAATGTCTGGGCGGAGTGATACGAGTGGCTATTGTATTAAATAATTGGGTGGAACAATACGGGTGGCTATCATGATATTATCAATATGGAGGGATAAGGGTGGCAATGTCAGAGATGATATGTGTCGGCCTAGGGGGCATAATATTAATGATATTCGTATGATGGTATGATTTTCCTTGTGTGTGTCGTGCACCTTACATGACTTGTTGTGTTGTTTCCAATAAGCTACCCGATATCTTTGATATTACTTCTTGAATTGAATTGTAATAGTACACTTGCGCATGCACACACCGTAGCATGTCACTTATACCAGTTCAGGAGTATGAAACTTGACATTTATTGATCATGCACATGTATTCTTGTAATATCTGCTTCCATTGTGATATTGAGCATGTGACCGTGCAAAACAGATTATGATATTGAGCATGTGATCATGCCAAGAGGATTGAGATATTGGCACGTGAGATGTCCATGCAGTTATGATTAATAATGTGGGCACGAGGTGCCACGAGCATATGATTTGTATTTTGGGACTCATGACTTATGATTATGAGATGAGGTATCTCTAAGTAATTTTGTGGTGAAGCTTGTGTTAGAACGGTTTGATTATTTGGTTGTCATTGATTTTCTTATTTGGTCTCACTGGTACTTTAATGGTGTTCTGATTACTTTACTATTTTATCACATGTTATTTTTTGTTTCCATTTTCTGATCCTTGCTTCCATTATTAGCTTCATATTGGTATATTGCACATGTTATTATGTCTAGTAGGTGTTTTGACTTGTACCTCGTCACTACTCCGCCAAGGTTAGTCTTGATACTTACTGGGTATCGACCGTGGTGTACTTATACTGCATATTTTTGTGCAGATCCAAGTATTGGAGATAATAAACTTTGGATTAGCTTCTTAATCGCGAGGATTCAAGATAGAGCTGCTGGGTCGTCGCAGTCTCTTGAGTCCTTTTCCTTTTGATTGTACTGTTAACTCATTATCCGAACAGTAATTTACTTTGTTTTGAGGTATTTCTATGTATTTATCTAGAGTTCGTGACTCTGTATTACCTAGTCTTGGGAGGATTGTTGTGATTTTTGCTGCGTAGGCTTGTATTACTTTTATTTAATATTTATATTAAACTTTACTTCAAAAATATTATATTCTGGTTTAGCTGTTGTAAGTAATCGGCTTATGCCATCACGACGTATAAGGCGGAAGTTTGGGTCGTGACAAGCTAGGGAGAAATTCAAAAATAGCCAGATTTACAAGTGGTCATTCAAAAATAACCACATTTTCAAAAGTCATCGAAATTTAGCCACTTTTCATGTAAAGATAAATATGAACGAAAACATTGTCCAAAATCCGAAAAATACTCCAGCATAATATACTGAAATTCCAATATAATATACTATAACTCTAGCATAATATACTGGAGTTCCAGTATACTTTGCTGGAACTCCAGTATAATATACTGAAACTCTAGTATATTATACTGAAGCCAGCAAAGTATACCGGTCCAGCATAATATGCTGGAAGTTCATATACAGGTGCACCGAACTCCAGTATATTATGCTGGACCGGTCTCTGTTGCAGCAAAATAATGGCTATTTTTTAATAATTTGATAAACGCTGGCTATTTTTGAATGACCGATCCGAAAACTAGCTATCTCGTGCTATTTTAAGGACAGGCTATGTCGAGCCTATTTGGGGAGGTGGCCCGCAATACCACAACCGACCAAAAGACACATTTAGGATCCAACGTTGCTTTGGGGTCTGAATGAGTCGCTGAATTGTTTGATTGCTAATAAAAGAATCCAAATCTTAAAGAAAAACACAGTGAAAAAGCTACTAGGAGTAGTACAATTGAGGAGACTATAATGCTGATCAACTGTTTGATGAATGTTCCTCCTAAGCTCCTTCTTTACTTCTACTTCAATTCTTGTCTCCTTATTTGTCATTGAGAAAATGGATGGATTGTATCTTTCACCCACCTCCATTATCCTCGCCAGAATCTTCTGCTGTTGCTATTCCCTTCTTTTAGTATTCCATTTGACGTCCTCTTTTCATCAACCTCCTTCTCTGTTTCAACGACCATGATCTTCCCCCTTAACCCTCTCATTGGATCTCAACAGCAGATCCACTGTCACTACCCATTCAGCTTTTTCTCTTTCAGTTTCTCTTCTTCATGGACCCTGCTACCTCTCGCCCTGGTGTAGTCATCGACAATGGAACCGGGTATGCTCTCTAAATTACTGCCCACCAAGTATTTGGTTAAACGATATTGAGGTTGTAAATTTGTTATTCCTCTAATGTTTGACAGAGGCGATACAGGATTTGAACTTTATAGGTTCAGTTTCGGGTTTCTATGACTACTCATTTGATTTACAGGGTCCAAAATCAATTATTTATACTTATTTAGTGAATCTTTTAACTCATATATAGGGTCAAAGTCACAGGTACTGGGTTCAAATGAACTCAGTAGTTACGCTCTACATTTGCCCCTGATGTTTCAGCTATATTAAATTGGGTTTTGCTGGAAATTTTTGGTTTGTTTTTACCTATGGTCACCACTACATGTTTTCAGGTACACTAAATTGGGTTTTGCTGGAAATGTGGAGCCAAGTTTCATTGTACCAACAGTGGTTGCGGTTAACGAGTCATTTGTGAACCAGACTCGAGCCACTACTAAGAGTAGCAATTGGCTAGCCCAGCACAGTGCAGGTGTTATGGCGGATCTGGATTTCTTTATTGGGGAAGAGGCATTGGCTAGATCTAAATCTAGTAGTAACACTTATAATCTTACCTATCCTATTAAAAAAGGTCAGGTTAATAACTGGGATGTGATGGAGCGTTTCTGGCAACAGTGTATATTTGATTACCTTCGTTGTGATCCGGAGGATCACTATTTTCTATTAACTGAGAGCCCCATGACTGCACCTGAAAGTCGAGAATATACTGGTGAGATCATGTTTGAGACTTTCAATGTACCGGGGCTTTATATTGCTGTGCAACCGGTGCTTGCTTTGGCTGCTGGTTACACTACATCTAAGGTTGGTAGCCTATGTGCTTGAAAATTTCTGCTATTGATAGGTTTATTAGTATATATTTCCGGATAATACTTAATTAGCAAAAGGACCTTATCCAACAAAAAGAAAAACACTGTTCAGTAAACTTATAGCTTTTTCAAGTAATTTTGGATCTTTTAATTTCTAGGGGATTAGAGGAATGAGCTGTTTGTGTTGAAGCTAATAAATTGGATCGTTACTTGTACCATTAGGAGCACTAAATTTACAAATTATTCATGATTGACCTTGCTTCGTTTGGAAGGGAGTAAAATATGTGCAGCAATATGCGTGCTTTATAGTCTTAAGTTTGTTAGTATGTTTTTAAAATTTTGGATTTATTTTTGCTTAGCTAACGAGTATCTTGATAAAAGAGTTAAGTGCACCAATGCAGGAAACTCTCTTTCCTTCTTAGGGGAGATCAGTTTTAAGGTCCATTACAGATATTCTTTTAGCTATATTGCCCTTTTGACAGGAGATCAGTATAAATATATCACAAGAGATCGGTAAATAATTGGTAATATGAAATCATTGCCTCCTTTACTGGTCATAAAAATTGTAGTTGTTGATTTGCTTCGTTCAGTTAAATAAATTAGAGCACGAGATGGTATAACTGTAATATGGTATGGCACCTTTTATTTGCACATATCCAGAAAATGATACAATTAGCAGTCCATTGGCTGATGAGCTCATCTACACTTACATACGACATTATTGATTGGTTGTGAATTGTGATACATAATGTTATAAATTCCACTTAAGTCTACTTTTACCGAATATTTATAGCTCTGTTGTTGGATGAAGTGTAGGGGCCAAGATAGATGGCTATCTCTTACTTTAGCTTATCAAAAAAAAAGAAAATGATGGCTATCGCTTGCTTTCAATACGAGTGTTTGCATGTTGTTAAGCTCATTTATTGCGACTACAATTAGAGTGGGTAAAATAGAGCTCGTCAACCATGCAACTGTGAAGTATATGTACAAATATCAGAGTGAATAATGTATGTGGATTGTATCATCTAACACTGATATGTTCCCTTTTGAATAGATTTGCTTTTGGTGTATTTGGAAAGATTCATGCCTAGGTCCTACTCACTTGGGAGGGTTGTGTCAATGCTCTCAACTGTAGATGAAACTTATATTTTAACAAATAGCTTTAGGGCCCATTTGTCCGTTAAATTTTCTTTCTTTATATCGATTTTTTTTTCAAAACTTGTTTGGTTATACATTAGACTGAATTTGTCAAAATTTTCTTGAAGATGAGTTTCTAACTTTGAAAAAGTGGGTTTTATCATTTTTCATGTAAAATTTCATTTTCCCTCACAAAACTGCAACATTTTTTCGAGTGAAATGCATGTCCAAACACAATCTTGGTGTTGTTAATTAATAGAATAGGAAAGTGTAATGGTAGTGAACGAGTTTAATTATCTTTTATTAGGGGTGTCAGTGGTTCGGTTCGGCCCGTTAGTTTAAGAAATTTATATCGTACCAATTTTTGGTTTCTCTATTGTGTATAACTAATATTAGACTTTTCGAAACCATCCAATCATATTGGTTTTTCTTCGGTATTGGTACGATTCAGTGTCATTTGGTATTTTATTTTTAAAACGTCATGTAGGAGTCGTAGGCCTCATTTATTTTTTTAATATTAAGACGTCTGAATCTGAATACATATCCGAATATCAAGATGTGTATTAAGATTAAGATATTTAGATCTGAATACACATCTGAATATTAAGATGTGTATTGAGATCTGAATACTAAATGATTAAGACTGTTTATTTTTTACCATTTGAATATATAAAATTTATCTTAATTTAAAAATTAAGAAACATAAAATTCATATAAAATACCAATTAATCTAATATCCTATCAATAAAAAATATATATATTTTAAAATATGGTAGTTGGTGATGGCGATGGCTAATGGAGGAGCTTGTGAATGCCGACTAGAGGCAGTGGTTGGTGGTGGTTTTGGTTGATGGTGGTAGTTCTGGGTAGTAGCTAATGGTGATTGGTAGCAATGGCGATTATGGTTGAGGATGGTGGGTGGTGATAGTTAATAATGGTGGGTCGTGGTTGTGGTTGTGGTTGTGGTTGTGGTTCTGATTGAGGAAGGTGATGGTGGGTGGCGGTAGTTTATAATGGTGGGCGGTGCCGGCTATGATTGTTTATGGTGATGGGATGGTTGGTTGTGATAGTTGAGGTGGGTGAGTGTTTGATTGTGGTTGAGGATGATGGTGGTGGGGGTGGCGGCGGCTATGGTTGAGTATGGTGGGGGTGGTAGTGGTTGAGTATGGCGGTGGTGGTAGTTGATAATGGTAGGCGGTGGCGGTAGTTAGTAATGAATGTGGATGCTAGCATCTTAATGAAATTAAGTCTATGTTATAGATTTTAATCAATACAGACACATTAAGTGATTGTAAAGTAAAAAAAATTAACACACTTAGGGGTCGTTTGGTATGAGGTATAAGAAGGTATAAGGGTGGTATAAAAATTTAATACCATCTTAATACTCTGTTTGGTTAGCAAACCAGGTATAAGTTATCGCGGTGTTAATTTTATGGGATAACTTATACCTTATAGAAGGTGGGGTAATTAGCACCGGTATAACTTATACCTTCTTCTTAGAAATTATGCAATTGTCATTCTTAATACAACATACCAAACAATGAATAAACAACAATCCCAGCATAACTTATCCCAATATAATTTATACCGGCTTAAATCATATTCCAACCAAACGACCCCTTAATGATTAAGATATGAATGATTAAGATTCATATTTAAAAAATAAACGCACTTAATGTCTGAGATCAGAATGATTAAGATTCAGACCTCCATTAAGTGCAAACAAATGAGGCCGTAGTGTTATTAGGATGTCTCATTTGCTATGTTAATAACAACATGTTTTAGTATAACACATAAAGTATATAAGTACTATATATTCGTTGAGTACAATTTTTACTACAAGAGCTTGTATACATGCAACGCTCAGAAAGGTTTTGATTTACATGGCAAATATTGCAACACAAGATGTGCACTTCTAACAGAAATTACCAAAAACTATTGGTCTATCTTATACTTATTACTGGGTTGCTAACAAAAGAACTGCAGTTCATAAGACATAAAATCTTAAAAAATAACATGTGGCATTGCTTGAATTTTTGAAAAATAAATATAGACCTAATATTTGACTCAAAAATCACAAAAATCAAAGGGGAAGAAAAAAAAGGAGAAAACATACCTCGGTGGCTTGCAGCTAAAAATTGCCGAAACTACTTTAATTTCAATAGTAGCTTAGTATGTCTGAGTGTTATTTGTAGCAGTTTCCATCCGAATCCACCCCAAGGCCCATGGAAAAAAATTTCTAATATTCCGTTATTTTTAATTTGATATATAAAATATGTTTTTTCATATAAATTTGTTCAGTTAGGTTTTTTCGATTTTCTTTATAAAATTAAAAACCTACCCTAATACAATTATGGATTTTTATGTTGAAACCTACGGTTTTGTAAAACAAAATAATTAAAAAAACCGGTTCGGTAAGGTTCGGTTCGGTCAATTCTTATATATTTGATATTTTTATTTTTCTTAAATTTTGTGCTTCATTCAAAGAAGCGTGCGCTTCATTTCAAATAAGGTGCATACTGCTTCAGCCTTCAAGTCTTGTGGACCTTGTTGATTTTTTGCGTTTTGTGCTTTTAAAAACACTAGTTATAGTATTTTTTTGCCAACAATGCTAAATATATTAGGATGGGAAAGGAATCCCATAATATCATAACCGGAAACAAATTTGGCAATAATCATTATCCAAACGTTAAGGACCACCATCAAAATTAACATTATAACACGCTAGCAAGCTTGTCTTGCGTAGCAAGTTACTCTTTTCACATAGGATGGAGAAGAATCCTAAGATAATGTCATACTAGGAACCTGAAAGGAGTCTAGTTGTAGTCATCATCAAACTTTGAGGCTATCGTTGAAGAACCATCATATAACGTGGATATTCATTTTTACCTTTTTCTTGAGCTATGAAGAGAATTGCAAGATGTTTGGTGACATTCTGTTGTTGGTACATCTATTACTTGCTTGTTTTGTATATTTATTTTACATCTGCTTCCTGACTGGTCTTTTATGAGATCCATAATATTTCTTGATATACTAATCAGATATTACTTGTCCTTTTTTAGTGTGAAATGACTGGAGTCATAGTGGATATTGGAGATGGTGCTACTCATGTCGTACCTGTTGCTGAAGGTTATGTTATTGGGAGTAGCATTAAGTCAATCCCCATTGCTGGGAAAGATGTTACACTCTTCATTCAACAGCTCATGAGGGTCTGTACCCCATCTCTCAGAAGTGGTTGAAAGAAAAAATGTGTTATTCTCGTCATTCAACTTCCCTAATTTTCTTTTCTATCGAGTCGGACGAATAAAACTTATTAAGAAAAAGAATCTAGTCAGACGAATAATATAGAATTCTTATATCCTGCCATTTGGCATTTTGTCGTTGTTGCTATAATAAATTTAATTGGAGTTCAAAAAGGATCCAAAGAATGAAAACAAAAGATTACTTATTAGAAAAAAGATGTGGAAACTATATAGTAATTGCACCACTAGAAATGACCATGTCTTTAATTGACTAAATGACTAGAAATATCTTCCATAGTGTGCAAGCTCCTCTACTTGGAGTGATTAAGGTGAGACTGGCAATACGTAGTTTCAAGATTTGTTCGTTAATGTGAAGACAGGATGGCTGTGCACTGTTTATCTCCTCTTTGTATGCTCATCCTCAGTAATGATCAAAGGATTCTTTGCCCGAAAGATAACACTGAGGTCTTACAGCATAGTTCTTTTATGCAAGTGCAACATTTATGTTTGGAAGAGTGCCTTGTTAGTTGCTGTAGCAAGTGTTATCTTGGAAGATTTGTGGAAAGACATCTTTTATCATCAATCTCTGACTGA